TTTCTATCCACTAGCCTCCTCATTCTCACTTAATTTTGACATTTTTCATTGTGATGTAGAAGTTTTCCTTATCACCTCAGTCTTCAATCAGAGCTTCTATACTTACCTAAGGGTTACTGCAACTCTGATTTACTTCTCTGTTTCACAAGGCATTTGATGGTTGAATAGAATAGAAACCAATCAAAGGTGGAATTAGCTCATTATAATTTAAATACACATTGCACCTTAGAGTACGCCATCACTTTCAGAGTCAACATGACAACCCTGAAGGTCTACAGAGTCAAACCCAGGTCAAAAAATAACTGCTCTACAGTGCTAAACACAGACAGCCATCACTCCCAGTGACTAAACCTGCCTGCAAACAACAGAATAGTTCCAGCTCCACTGACAGAAAACACACCTGTCATGTTGTATGTCATCAGTCTAAGTTCACATCTGCTTCCTTTTTACTACTTTGTTGAAAACAATTCTCCAAACCAGCCACATACTTGCAAAACCATCACTGAAACTAAAGCTACCTGCAAAGGTTTCTGTCTGAAGTAGGGCCTCAAAGGGTTACTCAGCATCTGTGACAAATGCTTCGCTTCAGCCAGACCTTGAGCTTCTCATCAGGAGCATGCATAGGCCCAATAGCCATTTTGAACAGCCTGCAGCTGATTTCCCTAGCATCCAGGAGACATGATTTCTCAATATTGCATTTCTGCTGGTACTGAGCTGAGAAGAAAGAATTCATTGATTTTCCTATTTAATATTTCATTAAATGCTTAGCTAAAATAGGTATCTGAGCTATACTTAATTCAAACCATTTACTTGATATCATCATTAGAAACACTTAAATGACAGTTGCAGTCACTACAAATGTTGAAACAGTGTCACTATTTCAGCATTTCATTGACGTTGCTTTGTGTCCTTCAAAAGCTTTCGCTGCTGTTAAAAACCCCTACTCATCTATATTTAACGAAGGAGATACCCAAGAAAAAAATAATTTCTAAGATCATATTGCTATCCTGCTATTTCAGTGTCAGCACAATGCCCATCACAATGACTTACTTTTTTTATTCTTTCCACTCCTAAAAAACACACTACGCCACAAAACACCCCTCACTGTTAGCAGTCAAGCTGCCAACAAACAAGTCTCTGGAGAGTTTAAACCCACATCACTTCCTAGGATAACATGCCTAATCTTTTGCCATCAGCACTGATCAGAAAAATGTATCTTTACAAAAATATTCAGCAGCTTTGTTGGCTCAACTGTAGCTACTGCAATACTTGCAAACACAGTCTTATGAAACAACACCCAAGATATCCACAAAAACCAGAAAGTACCAAGCAACAAGAAAAAGACACAAAAGCAAACATTTAAGAAACTACAAAACAAAATCAAAACAACCCAAAGAATCACCCGGCACCCTGACAGTAGACCACCATCTCCTACTTCAGAAGGGCTCTGTTGAAAAAGCACACCTGTAAACATGTTTGGCTTGTATTTAATCCTGTCAAACTATGAACATATGCATAAAGTTTAATAGAAAGTATATTTTCCCCATACACTTCTACATTTATTCAGAAAGCAGAACTGTTCTGATCTAGGAAGCTTGTTGTCCTGTAAGCAAAGCAGATTTTAACACAGGCCCTCATCACATCCTCTTAGCCTCCCCAGGTCTTTGCCAGTATATGAAAACACAGTTCCATATAAAATCAGCCAGAAGTCTAAATGGATCTTAACATCAAGTTTATGCATTTAAGACATGTGCCAAGCACAGGGCTTCATGTACTCAGTGCTATGAAGGGAAAAATTTTGTACTCCATCTTTTACACAGTAAAGACATTTTCTCAGAACAATTTCTTGCTCAAGTTTTTTCAAGTGGGAGATCTGTTAAGAACAGTATACAAAGAGGAGACCATTTATAACTTCAACATTAAAATCACACAACTTAAATATCATGTTCTTATTCTATTGACAAAATTTGGGGATTTTAATTAATTCATCATTCAGATTATCAGGACACGAACCAATTGCTGGATAACTTACTGAAAACAAGCTATTTTAAAGTTAATTCCACAAAACTAAGTCAACTTGCTTTGACATCCGATTCAGGCCACAGATTATTGCTGAGGCAACAGCAGCAAGAGGGTCTCTCAGCCAGCAGAATTTCCAAAGCATTTTCACATGACACATTACCAAGCACATGCAATACTAATTTAGATCTGTTTTACAGGCAATTAAAAGATGCCACTCTGTCCAGCATGCAAAGCTGTGCAGTTGACAGCTCTTAATATCATCCACTGAACTGCCTATTGGTTGAACTTTGATTAATTTGGAGTTCAAGAGGAAGCCAGGAAGCTCACGTAAGCAGAGCTCAAAACCACGGCCACTCCCAGTGATGGGCATTATGCATTCCAGCACCGTTACTTCAGGGTTGGAACTTCACCGTTTATTCCATTTTTTAATTCCCTCTTATTTGTTCACTAACCCACCACAGCACTTGCTGCTTACCACATGAGTAGTTTCACCTCCTTAACAGTCTATTGTTAAGCACTGTCAAAAGCTTTTGAAATTCTAAATGAATTATATCTGATAGTACTCTCAATGTTTTGTTGTCACAGTGAAAGAATTCAATAGATTAGCAAAGACATTTTCCTCTGAAGAAACTGTGCTAATTTACTGCTATCAAAGTATGATCTAGAGCAGATTATCTCTTCAAAAAGCACCAGCATTTCCTCTGCCACTGATGAAGAGCTTGATGGTCAGCAGTGCCAAACACACCTTTGGTTAAAGGCACTGAGGTTAAGTACAAGTTTATTTTTATAGAGAGTGACTGATTTAATGTGAAACTATGTCACTGGCTTGGATGCACAGCAAAGGAGGACAAGGGAGCAACAAACCTGTGGCCTATTCATTTACCACATATACAGATAATCATAACCAAAGACAAGCAAAGCACAGATAAATATACCAAAAATTCCTTTATCAATTGAGGGACTTGAAATACCAAATAAAATAGCAGGCCAATCTGGCCTGAATATCTCCTCCCCTTTTTCTCAAAGCTTAAAGATCCCCTAATAGAGATTCTCAGTGTGAAATAATGCTGGTGAAGGCTCAAAGACTAACAGGACACAGTAAAGCTATCAAAACTATTTGTAAGCCTTTTATAGGGCTGATTCTTTGATATCAGACCACATCAAACTTTGTAAGCAGGTAGTATGGACAGCTTCTTACACATGCTATGGCCCAATTCCACTCTCAAATGAAATAATTCATCAACCTCTCAGACCAGCAGATTCCCTACAACGTTCTCCCTTACTTTAATGAAAAAATTTTTTCACTGCAGCTGCTCTGTTCAGCAAGTCTCTTATTTGTGTTTCACCAAGCCACTCTGAAGAAGACAAGATAATAGTGATATATCCCATGTAACTGAGACATCAGAGGAAGAGAAATTGAGGAGTTTGCTGTATTTCTAAACCACACCAGACCACTTCAAAGAGTACGATTCCAGTTTCCCATCAAGTTTTCCCCAAGGCAACCTCAGAGCCTCACTTAGCACTGTTATAACTGAGGAAGCTTAGACCCACAGCTGTGACCTAGAAGCTTATTCAGCTACACATACTCAACAAGTGACAGCCACCAACAAGGTACAGCAAAAGCTCTGATCACAAATTAAAAACTGCATGGCATATTAAATATTCTGCACATTGATGCCCACATTTCCCCAAGTGTTCCTCTATCAGTACTTTAAATAGAAAAAATCCTGGATAAATGTACTAATTTTCATTAACTAATGAGACCAGCAAAACATTTCTCTTTAATATCTCATTTTATGGCATTTTATGCTTATAGTCTTATCCTTTATACAAAGCTGTTCAATTTCAGAACTCAGTCTTTTTGTCTCCAAACACTCCTGGGGAAAAAAAAAAATAGTCTTAAGGTGTCTTAAGTATACTTTCAGTAAATATGGACAAGCAAGAAACACAAATATTATGAAAAGAATCTATAACAGAGTTTCACTGTTTTTAGAAATTCCCACACAAACCAGCCTAAAATGACACTGACGCACACCCTAAACAATTTTCTAAGTTACATAGCAGCATCCCATTAATCATAAGCAAAATGTTCTGCTTTGTATTAAGTCATTGAAGAATCAACACAGCATACAAAACTAGCAATTCTGTTCGCAACATACTAAATTATTTTTTAGGTCATCAAGCATATGGCACTTTAAATAGACAAAGCAATTTGTCTAAAAGCACAGGCATATCCCATGTTTGGATCTTTGGTTTAAAGCCATTAAATATTTTTTCCTCTGATTTTATGAAGAAAAGAAGATAAAATCAACAAAGTTTTATAAATAATACCCCTCCCCCTCTATGCTGAATAAGTCACCAATGAGTTTCCCAAAAGTAAATTTTTCTGACAATTTAAAATTAGAAGAGGTTTCTCTGCAGTTACTACTTCTCTACCAAGTAAGGAAATTTGTCTTATTTTAGTTGAAATTTAGAGACTCGTATCTTTTAAAATGAATAAGGGGCCTGCTAAGACTTTCAGTAGCAAATCACAGGAACTCCCAAAATTTAACAGTTGAAGTAACCACCACAGGATTTGTTTATTTTGTCACACTCAACCATGACATCTGAATGATTCTCAAAATCTTAATTCCATGCAAAGTAAGAGATTATAGAAGATATTTTAAGTGGTATAAAAAAGAAAAAAATGTCTTGTAAAACTTACATTCTTTCACCATGCTATTTGAATATAGAAATAGAAAGAAACACAGAACTGCTTGAAAAGGTTAAGTCCTAAGTGAACTGCTAGGCTTCTCTTCTCACTGCTTGGGTCACGCTTCCCACTCTTTCATTCTACTCCAGAAGGGGAGAGTCACAGCAGTTATGGGCAGATGTTTTTAAGAATATTTAACACCCATTTCACCTGCCAGATGTCCCTGAAATGAGAAAGCAGCATTTGTTATTTGAAAAGACACATAATATTTTCATACAAGCTCTACCTTATCTTTGTCTTCCACAACATCTGCCAGCACATCATCTGGGTCCAAGATTCCTCCATCTGTATACTCCAGGTGGTGAATATTTACCCAGGAAGCTGGATCCTGTAAGACAGATACAAGACTTCTTAACCTACCTTTGCATGATTTTAGTGCTGTCAGACAAAGCAGTTTTGTGTCCCACTTGTTTTCCACCTACTTCCCTCTATAGTCATGAGGTAGGAGATTGGAGCTGCTACTCAAAATTGAAACTGAGAGCAAATGAAAACTACAGATGAAAAACAAGCAATACATATAGAACACTACACAAAAAAAATCTTTAAAACATAGATTTTTTTTTTACTGATATTGATTCATATTTCCTTATCAATCTTTATTTAATTTGAATAGTGAATTTGAAATAATTTAAAAAAATTCTTTTTGTTCTACAATACTTTATAGATGGACTATTTCAGTTATTATCAGAACAAACGTATAAATAAATACAGATAGATGCACCACTTCTGACATGTTGTGGGGAGGTGCATCTCTATTTTTTTAGATCTATAAAACACATCCATCATTTCTTTCTCTGAAGAAGCAGATAATACTAATGTGGCAAAGATCCCCAAACAAATAAGTAAATCCCAGTTTGCTTTCACAAACAAATACTTTCAAATTCCAATGCAACACTGTGTACCATATTAATAGGGATCATATTAATTCTCCAAAATGTATGCTTTTCTCATACATTATTAACTCCTTCACTTCAATAACCAAGAGTTCAGCCATCATTCCACTGACCCTGAAGCCAAAAGGCTCAAGTGTACTGCTTAACAGCAAATTCTCCCTGGCAGGAAATACAAAATTAGAGAATAGAGACACAGTCTGCAGCCACTGCCCCCAGACGATACCAACTACCTGTGTACACAACTTCCAAGTGGTATTTATGGCTGAACTTCCTTAGTTAAGATTTATCCTGCTAGGACAAATTACTGTGGTTTAATGAGCACATGGCAGCTCAGTGAGTCCCAGGGACAAGTTTGAGTGGTATCAGCACTGATGAACGTTGCATCTGCTACAGCACAACGAAGAAAAAAAAACATGCCTAGCTAGGATTATAAAGCATATTTGAGTCCTCCATCAAATACTGTGGAGAATGGCCAGAATATGCTAAAATTGAGGGCCAAGAAAGAGGCACACACAGTTATGAGAAATGTTTCAGAAATGGAAAAAAAAAGATATGACCACTGATGGCCTGCAACTGAGAGTAAAGTATAACTAGATACAGTACAGCTGCATGATAACCACACAATTAACCATCTAAAAGAATGCCTATTTGTAACATGCCCATTTAGTCTCTAATTTACCTCTTACTACAGTTATTTCATTTTGCAATGAAACCATCCACTTGTGAAACAGCAAATGCTTGTTCATTCTAGGTATCACATGTTCAAAATTACAAAACTTAGGAATATCAATTAATACACTTTTTCTTCTGTAAAGTGACAAAGTGTGGACAACTATTGCAGCTTAAATTTCTAATCTTTAAGCTCAGAACTTAAGTATTTTTACCAGAACCATAAAATTCTAAGATGGAAAGGCAGAAAAGAAACATACCTTTATGCAATAAATGAGCAGGTTAATTTAGATCATAATATTTACCTAATGCAGATACCTTGAAAAAAGTGTAGTTTGACCATACCAATAAACTTATAAAATATGATACTCCAAAACCAGAATACATCAGTAGCTACAGATGCTCCCCCTGAAACATTTAACTAATGTAACCACAAAGCTGTTCATAATTAGCAGCACTAAAACAGCATAATTGAAAATCACTCCTCTTAACTGGGCAAACTTCTGTGGCTAAACCTATTTGGCCAAAGACATTTTAAAACCTGCTGTATGTATTATACTGTTGAAATGTTAAGAATAAAGCTGAAGTTAAAAAATACACAGCTCATTAGAATCTTTTGCTTTCAGTGTTCACTTCTATTTGTGATTCAGTAGCTGCAGCAACACAGATGTGTCATTGAAACAGAAACAAAGAAAAAACAAGTGTAAAACCCTATTGTCCCAATAGAATGCTGCAAGTTGGCAGGACACAAGCTCAAGACATAGCCACCCTATACTACATTAAACTTAATTAATTCCTAACTATCTTTTACTTTTGGACACAGCAAATATGGTAAATTATTTTTGCTAGTGGCAATACCAAGAGAACATCTCTAAAATAGTCTCAAAAAACAAAAGATGCCATTCCTCACCAATCTTTTGGAACAATGTAAGATTCTTTAAAAGAAGACAATGACAATTCACAATGAAGCACAAGAACTAAAGCAGATCAGGATTCACAGTTTCTTTTGAAGAAAAGTACTTCTTAATGGTTTAGACACATACTTTAGTTCAGGTACACACAGTATGAACACACAATGACTTTCTGATCTCAAGGACTCCCCAATTACAATGACCAGCACAGACTATAGCAAGACTGAATACTTGCTGCCTCAGAAACACACATGGGAATGGCTTCTATTAGCTTATATGAACTTCATCCCTCCAAGTAAAAGCCCATGCTGGGTGCAGGGAGTTTTTTATAAACTTGGTTGATGAAGCAAATAGTAACTAGTGCTAGATAGACTGGGAAGAGGTTCCCTCCACATAGTCACAAACGTAAAATAGTCCACCTGACAGCAAACCCATTCAGCTATTCAAAAAAAATTTCAAAGTCAGAGAACATTTTCTGTTCTTTGTATGAATTCCAAACACTGACATGCATTGGGCATAAAGTGTCCATTAAAAAAAACAAAAAACAACCACCCAAAAAACCCCCACCAACTAAAATATATACATCAGTTTCTTCAGTGTTTCTTTAGTCACACCAAGATTCAAGACAGTTTTACTGAATAAAACATTTTAGAAAACTCACCATTCAAAAGAAGCTATTAACTACCAGAAGATGTAAAAGTTGACTATCTAAAATTCCAAATAGCACTGTATCTATATACATATGAACAAACTCACATTTTGCTCATTACTTAGAGTGCAAAAGGAGTAGGTCCAAAATATGGTACATGAAATCATTAACAGAGAAAATGAAACTTGCTCAGGAAAAAATCATCCTATTTTAAGGTTCTTGTGCTTTACTATGATAGAATAATCAAAAGGAGCATCAAGAACACTGCAGGTTTCCATGTGTTTTAAAACTTCTAGGCAGGAGATTGCCGTTCTAATGCAACAGAGTAACTTCATAGTTCATAATGTATACAAGTGGAAGTCTTGCAAAAAAGAGAGTTTGCCAATTCTACAGTGTCTTCTGAATGCTCTGAAATTCAGAGCCCAGGAACAGAGATGGCAGGCTGTGCAAAGGGTCAGTGCCAGACAGCTTCAACAAAATAACACTTCTTGCCTGCTGAAAGCAGCAAATGGTGAATGACACCCCATTTTTGATCAGAGAAGAGATAGATTAAGGGCATACTTACTGAGAAAGCACTTGCTGAGAAGCTATGAAATAGAAAGTAAGGAAAGTAACTGTATTCTAAAATACTAGGACAAGTTTTGGTTTTTTTGTTTGGTTTTTTTTTCTGATTGATTGCTGTTTCTTTAAGTTTCTCTAGACTGAGACTGAAATCTTATTCTAATGAATGACCATGTCTAGAAGGATTCTTCACAGTATCTTCTTAATCATCATCATTAAAAGCTGACATGCCTAAAAAGAAATACTTAGTTTAGAAAAAGCCTCTTGTAGAAATAAAACACTAACAGTAGCCTGGAAGCTCTGGACAGCATTGAGGCATGGTTACCTGAATCTATATCTGCTCCTAAACATTTCTAAATGTTAGAAAATCCATCTTGAAGAAACTGCAACTACGGTTCCAAAATATCCTAGCATCACAAGTGGGGAGAAGTTCTCTTACAGCGTAGTACATAACCTGAGGCAGAAATTCAGCTGAAGTACAAACCTGTAAAAGTCTATGTAAAGAAAATGTATGACTAAGTTACCTGGTATAATTCATAACAGCACTTGGCAAATGAATATTGAACAGTTACTCTAATGTGCATTTTACCTTAGGGCTGCAAGTCATGTTTGTGTTTAACATCAAGCCACTTAAAAGCTGTTTATCATCATTTCCTTTATGTGTGGGAGAACACTTTAGGAATTACTATGCAAATATTTACCAAATGTTAAATTAAAGCCAGGTCACATGAATGCACAAGTGCAATGTAGGCAGAGAAGTGACATAAATTTTAAAAAATGGGCTTGCCATTCATGTTGTTACAGAATCCTGACTTAGTTGTTGCCACATAATACAAAACCATCACTGTTCAAATAGTCTAAAACAGGTTCAAGAATTTTTCTATGCATTTATTTTCAGTCAACATACCAATCAATCTATAATTAAAGCATTCACCTTTATTGTTAGGTTTTTACATAAATCTATAGATTCACATTTTTAATGTATGAAAAAGTTGGAGAGCATTTTTGATTCTTTTTGTTCCCAACTCACCTAAAAATGTATCAGTCTCTTTCCTGAAAACTAAGCAACATATCTAACAAATGTTACAGTCCACATCAGGTATTTCAGACTGTTAAGGAGAATCCTAACTTAAAGACATTTCAGCTGACCACCAATAAAATAAACACCACCACTTAAGGACTTCACGATTAATTATTGTTTGATGCTGTATTCTGTTCCGCTGTGCGGAATGCATAAAATTAATAGCCAACCTTATATTTGAATTCTTAATTTAATATAGTAACAATAGGATGCACAAAAGAAAAAATCAGAAATAGGACTGACTTATTCATGCTGATATTTCTGAAGTGCCTCCACATCAGTGTTTCACTAGAGCAAACAGGCTTCAATGAAATACAGCATACAAATGGAAATCATATATGCCTGTTCCACATACACAACAACAGAATAAATGGTAGGTCAAACTTGGGGGAAGGTGTGGCCTCTGGCCACATTGTTTTCTGTCATTTAGACAGTGTAAAAGTAAAATTAAAAATCCCATAATCATAAACCATTTTCTGACAAATGGATATTTTAGGTTAAGCTCAGCAAAAGAGGTATTCTACCACTTAATCATTTTTAGATTATAAATTGCAATGTGATGCATTACGTCAATATATTAAGTAGTATTTAATGATTTCTATAAGCATTTTAAGGCTACACAATGTATCATTATGCACAAACAGCAATAAGTATTAGTTAACTTATTAGCAATAAGTTAAATACTTATTAGTTACTTAACTAATAAGTATTAGTTATTAACCCTAACTCTCAGACCACAACTTGGGGAAGAGAGCACAAAAAGCAACTCCGAGAGGAACATACGGATGAGACTGGGCACAGCCTCAAGCTTCATCTCTAAATCCTTCTCAAAGTTTACCACTGAATTAGATCTGCCTTAAGCATTTTTGGTTTGCTTACCAAAAACACCTCCAAACAAGCCTGAAGTGGTACTTCATTTAAACTCCATCTCAACTGTCACCAACAGGGCTGCCATCTTCAGTTGTAGTAAAGGTGGGGCTCTGTTTCTACAGCTCTATGAATACAGAGTTTCCCAAATCAAGAGTTGACCACAAAACAGATGTTTGCACACAATAGACTATCACAATCTGGAGCTGAACAGTTAGAGGTCAGCAACAACACAACATATGTGCATTGATGTCCTTGTACAACCTAAAAGAAGCCCCAAGAAAAAATCCAAACCACCCCAATATGCATCACACCCTGTCCATACAGCAGGCAAACAACCACCACTCCTACTCTCTTCATATGCATGAATGCAGAATTGTATCATTGCATACAATATTGTAGGTTACAGATAAAACAGCTTTATGGAATAAAAGGAGCCACAAGAAGTTTCTGTAAAAATAGAAGATGAACAGCTACCTGCACAAATTAAGCCTGTTCCAGACATTACTGAATACAGAAGTTCCTGGCACAGACCTGATCTGAATAAGCCTCCCTATACAAAATACATGAGTATACTCCATAAACACATACGTGTATTTACACATGCACACACCTGTAACTGAATACAAATTGGTTCTTCTTTTCATAAAATTAAAAAAATGGAAAAAATGCAATATTTAGGTTTCACTGCTCAGGAAGCTTCCAGAGTTTAGTTTACTTTACACATAACAGAGGATGTTACAAGCTCATATTTCTAGGTCTCACTGTTGAAAAAATTAATTTTCACCATCTAATTAATTACACTGTCTTTATAGCATAACATTAACCAACACATTTTTAACCCTTTCCAGTTAGAAATTCAAAAGCAGCAGAAATCTTTAAGATAACACAAGGAAGAGAAACATGCTACAAAACAGTGAGGTAGTAAAAAAATTCCTTGTGTATTTCATAGTGCTATTGTTCTCCTTCACCAAAACTCTGACTCCGCTTGCATTAGAAGTGAAAATGTAAGATGCTAGAGAGAAGATAAAACTTCTTTATAGCCTTCTACCAGCTGGAGTGGCACACATTCTCTCAAGTTATTAATATTAAAGAAAGATCTATACTCAGTGAGCTCAAAGACAGAAATTAAAGCTGAGGTAAGGGCAAAGGACAAGGTAGTCTGCTCAGAAAGAAAATGCTTTTAAGCATCCAGAAATAAAAACACAGAAGGCCATACAGCATAAATAGTCTTAGAAAGGTGACTGTAAGGGATGCCTCCTAATCTGTCCTCCAAATGAAATAAAGTACTATAAAAACAAAGCAGCACAAGAAAGGATCTCCAGAGAGAAATTTTACCTTAACTGGGGGTTGATAGCAAACAGAAAGAAGTTCATTCCAAGGAAAGTTGTGAGTACATGGAAGACAAAGTTCTTCACTTTTCACAATAAATTTAGCAGGTCTAACAAGCTTTCAAACCTCATGCCAAAACATGATCACAAGAAGTAACACCAGTCTAAGTTGTTATACCCATGATGCTTTGCTTCTGACTAAAGCACACATTTTGATTTTTTTTTAGATAAGTTAGGAAGTTTTCTTCACACAGTAAGATAACACATAAGAAATTTCTCTCCTCTTAAAAAGAATAGACTAAATATTCAAATATAAGGTGAATTAAAGATTATTTTCTTCAAACCAACACAATTTCTCCTACTCTTTAGAAGGATCTCTTTTCAAACTGTAGTAGAGGAAACTATTCCCTGTAAACAAGCTATTTAAAAAACTAAATCTCATTCTATGTATTTTCACACATACTAAATTTTTGTCCAGATTCATTCATTTTATCTCTCAATACTAGTTGTGGAAAACATATTCTTCCCTCAAGCACTTCTTTTTTCAAATCATGATTAGATGTAATATAGCCAAAAGGTATGAAGTAAAAAAGGAGTTCTGAAAAAACAGTAACTTACATAAGATCACTTTAAATATTTAATTTTAAAAGTTTCTGTCTTTGAAAGTGCTAAAAACCAGATGCCAAAAGAGGAACTAATCAGATCAGGTCAACAGAGAAACATTCATCTTTGTCAGAACGGTTGGGTTTATCTCAGTACACTTGCAGTTTTTGCACAGTCTGGTCACACTGCCTTGATGGCCTTTAAGGACAGCAAGGGCATAAAATAGACCCTGGACTACCACAGATTTGTGACTGAAACAATCTGTTAACTATCCCAAAAAAAGCAGAAAAAAAAATTCTCTTGCTTTTTCCAGGCACAATGAACAACCAAAAAGCAAATACAGCTCACCATCAGCTTTACCTTTGACATGCTAAATGGTCCAAAATACCATTAATCAATTCCTAGTCACCAGAGGAACCTAGAATATTTCTTGACCTTTAGCCATCTTCAAATAATTATGCTCTGAGAAATTAACAGGACCTAGTATTTCCATGACTAGTAATCAGAACACAACAGCAAGAACTGATGATCACTGCTTTCTGTCTTCACCTGTTCCCTGCACTCCACCATATACCAAACTTCATTTTGGAGGTATGAAACTTTCTTGCACATTTTTTTCCTTCTCTGATTAATTTTCACGTACAGTTAACACATTCTGTTTTACTTGGGAAGACAGACACTCAGTGACTGGTTGTAAGAGCCACCTCATTACAGCAAGATGGGCTTAGACATCAGAGAGCTCTCACGGTGAAGATGTGGGCTACAAGGAACTCAGCACACAGATTATACACACAGTTTCAACTGTTAAAAAAGTCCCAGCTCACATTTGAAGATAAAGACCCTGGCCTGAGATCCTGGTAGACAAACCACAGAATAGTAAGACAGTGAAAGTTCTTCACATAGGCTATAAACCAAGGGGAGCAGAGTGAATAGGACTCTTCCACTTGAGCCACTCAACACTGCATACTGTAGGTCACAGCAGAAGGACGGACAGCAAGCCGCTTCTGGCTCTCAAGGGACAGTGCTGGCAAACAGGGACTAGAAGATTCCTTGTCCTTCAGCTATCTGTAAATAATTATGTTTTAAGAAATTACCAGGACTATATACTAATAATAAAGTCTTCATTTTTCACAAGGCAAGGAAGGTACTTCACTGTAATCAGAAAGGAGAAAGAAGAGACAGTTTGAATATGCAGGGGGAAAAAATACCTATCTCCCATATTCAGTCTGAGGAGGAAAACAGAAAAAGCTGCTTCTATCTCCCTGTTTGTCAGAGCACAGACATATAAACCTAAAATGACCCAGATTATTTCAACTAACACTTCAACTTTTACTTGATTTGCAGCACTGGAACCCTCCAAAAATAAGAGCATTCTGATTTTATACTGAATCTGAATGAGAAACCACTCTCTGAATATGGCTGTCTGAATATCACTTGAATAAAATAAGATGTAGAGAGTACATCAGGAGATGATCACATAGCCCAACTTTACATTATAGTGCAACATTTAAGAAGACCATTTCTGTGAAGAAAGTATGCCCGTTTCAGTTTTACAAAGAAAGCTGGAGATACACATTTAGACAGAGGTCTACACACTGCACTTGTAACAACCAGCCAAAATCTCCCCCTCCAAGCCTCAGTTAAAGCTGGAGCACGCTGTATGGCAGGCACTGAATCCAAGTTAACTACACAAATGTAAGAATATAAGTGTAAACTAATCTTCAGTTATAAACTAAGAATATCCTTTAGCTTTTCAAGTCCATAACATTAGACTGCTTCAACAATGTGGAAACACAAAAGACTCAACCCTGTGCAAATTAGCACAAAAGTTCCAGAACAAAACATCTCTAAATAAACCTGCAAGATTTTAAGGCTTACCTTTCATATCCCAAGTCCTCCATGTCAAATATTATCTGCAATATTCAGAGTCGTATTGTTATGCTAATAAGCAAACTGCTACCCAGCTCTAGGCAGCTGGCAAGTAATTAATTTGCATTGAGTGGCTTTTTGTTTGATTTCCTGAAGGTGACACTGCGGGGGCTAAGGACCACAGCAATGATTTCTTAAAATCCAAAATTAAGTGGGCAGACTCTCCATATTAGTATAAAGCCACTCCTTCAAACTGTCATACATCTTTCACATAGAAATGAGAAGGGGAAAAACTTAAGAAAGTAAGAAATGCATGTATAAGAGTAGTGTACTTCAAAAGTAAAGTCCAGGTTAAGTGACTGAACAATGCTGTTATTTTGCCAATAAAAACTGAGAATGCCTTAAATTCAAATCATTCAGTATAGCTACAGATAAAAACGAGGCTGGCTGCAAATTAACACAACTCAAGTTTGTAACAAACTCAGCACTGAAGGATACCAGATCTTCAACAAAACATGATAAATGGTTCACATCTCCAAGGGCAGCCAGCACATCAGCCCTGCATCTAGAAACCATCTAAGATTGTTTTATTTACAACTGTTGGGCCTTTCTTTGATAAAGTGATTAATGCATTTGCAGCTGACACAGGACTGCTTATCAGAAGCAGCTGGGAGCTTTAAAGATGTGATTGAGTAACACAAGATTCTAAACAAAACTGAATACAAATGCCTGTAAGACAATGCAGACCAAGCATGCTGGAATCCTGTCAAACTTTAACACAAACTGAGCTTTAGACAAAGCTCAAGTGAGGAAAAAAAAATAATCATTCTAAACTATAGAAGCATTTCCTTAATTCCTCATAGAAAGCCATCAGATATTTTTTGGAATTCCTTAGAGAACAGCAAGACTTTTCTGCTGCAGTACCACCCTATTTCCTGCGTGAGTCAACCACCAACCCGAGATTAGGAATTTTGCCAAAGACTGTCAGATTTATAGTGTCAGTAGGAGTCAGAGCCAGTCAGAGCCCAGACCACCATTCCCTTCTCACACATCCAAACTGGTGAATGTAAGAAATGCCACCAGTTCTCACTGGTCTCACTGCCTCTAACAATCTTAATGAACTCTCTCCATGCTCTCTGAACACCTCCTAGCAGGCACAGCTCATTGCTCCTCTTAGAGAGGAGTTAAAGAGGAGTTAAAGAGACCTCGGGTCTCTTTCCTCACTCAGAGAAAACACATGACCTTTCACAGTACATTTAGTGACTGTGCTCCAAAATCAAGCCATAAGG